GCCCTCTCCTGGCCCCTCCATCCCGCACTTGTTGCTGCCCGGCAGGGCTGGGCTGGCTCCCGGTTTAGGGCGGTTTTATTTGGGGGGGGTGGCTTTGGAGGGGGTGGAGGTTGCAGCCTCCCCTGCTGTCCCCCAGCAGCCAGCGGTGTCCGGCGCGGCTCCAGCTTGCTCCCCCCGAGGCCAGAGCCAAGCCTGAGCCCCCCCTTTTCCCCTCCCCAGTCCCATCTCTGTCCTCCTCTCCCGCCTTCGCCGAACCCCAGCTCCTCGCCCGGAGGAAGGGTGCACGCTGTGGGCATCTCCCATCCACCGAAATCTATGATCAGCTCGGTGTGTGTCTCCTCCTACCGTGGACGCAAGTCTGGGAACAAACCACCCTCCAAAACATGCCTGAAGGAAGAGATGGGCAAAGGGGAAGAGTCGGACAAGATCACCATCAATGTAGGTGGCACCCGGCATGAGACCTACAAAAGCACCCTGCGGACTCTGCCGGGCACCCGCCTGGCCTGGCTGGCCGACCCCGATGCCCAGAGCAACTTTGACTTTGATGGCAAAAGCAACGAGTTCTTCTTCGACCGCCACCCCGGGATCTTCTCCTACGTGCTCAACTACTACCGCACCGGGAAGCTGCACTGCCCCGCGGACATCTGCGGGCCCCTCTTCGAGGAGGAGCTCACCTACTGGGGCATCGACGAGACCGACGTGGAGCCCTGCTGCTGGATGACCTACCGGCAGCACCGCGACGCCGAGGAGGCCCTGGACATCTTCGAGAGTCCCGAGCCTGGTGGAGGGGCTGCTGGAGAGGAGCCTGAAGAGGAAGGGGGTAGGGAGATGGCCCTTCAGCGCCTGGGCATGGATGACAGGCCCCCAGGGGCGGCGGGGGCTGCTGGAGGAGGTGGCTGCTGCCGGAACTGGCAGCCCAAGATGTGGGCGCTCTTTGAGGATCCCTACTCGTCCAAGGCGGCGAGGGTAAGCTCCCGAAACGCGCCGGTGGGGAGGAGGGATGGCGCCGTGCCGGGGTTGTGGCTTCACCTCCCCATCCCCGAGGGCAAGGCTGACTTTCCTGGTGGGTTACATGAGGCCCCCCCATAACTGTCCCCCTCCTACTGTGGGGCACGTGAGCCATGTCCCATCCTGTAGGACACATCTTCCATTGTCTCCCAATCCCCTCCCAACACAGCACATCTGGGAGAGCTGGGCTGAAACTGCGGGCAAGAACAATCCCTGCACCCTCGAGTGCTCCCTGGGCACCTCCTGGGCACACGGAGATGAGGGATTGTCCTTGGCAGGGCTGACTCTGGCAGAGTTTCAGGATGCTCTAGGATAGGATGTTTGGGTTCCTCTTGCTGGGCTGCACGATGCCAAAACCCGCATTTACCAGCCCAGGTGTGGAGCGGAGATCAGGGCTGCGAGTCGGGTCCTGCAGTGAACGGGATCCTCATGGTTGTCCCCGAGCAGCTCACGCTCCTCATGTGTAGGAACTGCAGCCCCAAAGGACACCCCGTGCCCGCTGTCCCCACCGGGGCCACCCCCGCCGCCCACGGAGCCAGCACGCCCAGCACGGCCCCGGTACCGTGTGTGTGCACACGTGAGCTCATCCCCACCCCACAGACCCCACCACCCTCCCTGGGCACGCAGGCAGTCCCTACCCACGGGCACCCATGTGCCCGGGACGTGTCCCCCTAAACCAGCTCTGCCCACCGACCCCCGGTGCCCACCCGTGCCCACCCAGCCCGCCCAGCGTGTAAATCTGCTGCACACACACTGGCAGGCAGCTGGGATCGAGAGGAATTCTGGATGCATTTAGAGGTGTAAAAAAGCCCCATCGATGGTAAGAAATTCTGCAGGCATTTCACACCCACGAGCAGCACGCGGGGCAGGGGTCAGTTTGGCAAGGAGGTGTTTTTGCAGCAAATGTTAGAACAACACACACACGCAGAGAATGCTCGGGCAGCAAGAGCTGAACCCATTTTAAACGGGTACCCCCTCCTTTGCCCATCTCTGAGTGCTCTTCACCTTGGAGAGATGCTCTGAATGGTGTAAAGCTCCAAATAAAAAATTAAACAAAATTAAAAATAAACCCGAGCACAATAATTCAACTCTTTTTTTTTTTTTCCCCCTGGTGTCATTTGGTTCTGCTTTTCCTGTGTGCTGAGCTGCTCCTGGCAGGCTTTAGCAGGAGGAATGGATTGGAGGGAGCAGAGATGGTTGTGACTGAGGCCCAACTGGGACTGGAGTGGGACCAGTTTGTACTGGGATCTTCCTGCTTCCTTCTCACTGCTTTAGATAAATGTTCAGCTCAGCAGTGCCATGGGAACGATCAACTTCCAGAGGCAACAGGGAAAAATACCGGTATAGTTTTGCCATAGCTTAGGAGAACTGCTCTGGTAAGAGGGGAAACTGAGGCACAGAGCAATGCAACCATCCCAGTGAGTGCACCCAGCTCCTGGCTGGAGTCCCCATGCAGCACTGGGGTGCTGCAGGATTCATGAGCATCTCATGTGCATCTCTGCAGGATTCATGAGCATGTCTGTGGATAGAACATCCCCAGGTGCTGCCCTGGCTTTTGTGGTGGGTGAGGTTTGCAGTGGTTGGGGTTTCTTCAATACCCCATTTTGAGGTCTCCCCCTTTCTTGCCAGAGCAAAAGGGGTCTGCTGGCTCTGGAATGTGCTGGAGCAGCTGAACAGCATGTTGCCAAACCTTGGGAAGCAGCAGTCCCAGGCTGTCCATGTAAAATCTCTCCCTCTCTGTGTGGCAGCCGTGACTAAGAGTCTCAAGAGCTGAATTTCTCCGGTCCTTGCTCCTCCTCTCCATGGAGCAGCCCCTCGGGCCCTGACTCAGTTGGTTCCTTGTTATTTCCATCTTTCTTTCCCTCCAGCACTTCTCCTCCTGAGCTGGCACCTGTGTGAGAGCGTGCTGAGAATCAATCCCATGTTTCAGCCTCGATGCACCATCGATGGCCATGGGGTCCCTGGCTCCTCAATCCAGTCCACCCAGGGAATATTTGGTCCCTGGCTCTTCAATCCAGTCCACCCAGGGAATATTTGGTCCCTGGCTCTTCAATCCAGTCCACTCAAGGAATATTTGATCCCTGGAGCAACTGCTGTCCCAGCTGGAGCTTAACACTTTTCCTCCCCATGGGAAACTGCCCTGGCTGGGATTTTACCTCTACGTCCAAACTCTTCTCCCATGCAGCTCCTCATTATTTTTTCCCTTTGCAGCCCGACTTGGAGAGTCCTGACCTCACTTTCATGGGGACTTTCAGGCTAGTGACCCTTTGTAGGTCATGGAATTTTTGGGAGCACCCATCTCAAGCTGTTGAGTGCAGGTCAAGATTGTGTAGAACATCAACAGGTTCTGGAGGACTTGTTTGGTGGGAGTTCTGGTGTGTATTGGTTGTACTGGGTTTATACATAGATTTGATTTTATTTTGAAGATATTTTTAGAAAAGAACTTGTGTTTGGAGCAGAGACTGAAGCTGAGGTGAGACATCTTGGGTCAGTCACAGAACTGGAGCAGCACTCTGGGGGGACACGATGCTTGGCACTGGTTATAAACCCAACTCTTCTATTTTTAAAGGCTGATTTTGCTCCCTGGGCTAAATCAGGTCTCACCTCACACCCAGCAGCAGGGCTGCTTCATTACTCAAGTGTTTGCATGGTCCCACTCCCTTCCTGGGTGATTTTTTTCTTTCTGCTTTGCTTTAAGTCTAAATTTTTACTCTTCAGGTTTTCCCAAGATTCCCCATCCAGGGAAGTTCAGGAACGTGACTCAGCCCTCAGCTGAAAAGAGGATTATTTTGGCTGTGCCACCCCTGTGTAGAGACATTTGTCTGGTTAAGCTGGCCATGCTTTAAGATCCCAATTTTGTTGGATTTGTTTCCCAAATTGCACACGACTGATGAGCCTTCAGAGCCGAATGCCCATGTGTGATCCAAAGGGTTGGACTGAGGGTCAGGAGCCTCTCATGGCATCCCCAAGCAGGAGTCTCTCACCGGGCAGGACAATCATTCCTCTTCCAGAGGTTTCTCCATCATTTAATGCCCGATTTAAACTTCACACCAAACTCTTGCAAGGCTGTTGCTCTCTGTGGTGAGCCCACAGGGGCCTGCCCTTGGGGACACCCCTCGAGGATGCTCCTGGCAGGCTGGGCTGGTCCACGGCCGGGTGTTTCTCCAGCGTGACTCAGGCTGTCTCTGCTGCTGATTCACTCCAGCCGAGGATCCTGGGCTGTTGCCTGGAGCAGCTCGTGGTGCAGCTCTGCCAGGCACAGCTGCTTGGGTGGCTTTGACAGCAAAAGGTGCAGGTGCAGCAGAGGGGCTGCAGCAGGACCTGCTCCTGGGAAGCTGAAAGCACCTGGGTTTTGTGCTGGAGGAAGTTAGAACAAGAGTTTTTCTGTTCTGAAGCTTAATTTTATTTTTTTTTTTTTGGAGGGGGGATGGTGGCTCTTGGAAACAGATGCTCCAGGTAACGGGCTGGTCATGAGTGAGGGAGCTGAGCAGGATTGAGGGGAGCACAACAAGGTGCTCTTTGTGACATAGCTGTGACTTCCAGTGCATGCTGCCAGCCCCGAGGCGGGGAGAAGGGAGGAGGTGACATGGAGAGGACAGCAGTCTCCCTGCTTGGGCAGAGCAGAGAAATGGGGACATCTGGGTGAACATTTGGGTGTCACCAGGTCCAGGCAACAACAGGAGACTGAGCTCCTCTCCTCATCCTGCCCTCCCACTCCTGGACCTTCTGTGGGCACTGACCCTCAGGGAGGGGTGAAAGGATGGCTCTGGCACATCCAGACCCCAAAGCTCACTGCTGTGAACAGTGTGAGCCTGGCATCTGGAGGGGGTTGTGATGGATGTGGGGGAAAGCTCTTTGGATGTGTCCTGTCAAATTTCCCTTTTCATGTCTGTTCCCATTGGAAGGCTGCTCCAGTCCCAGACTGTCCCAGACTGTCTCAGTTTCCCTTCATCCCCACCAGTGCCATTCCTGGCACAGCTGGAGCCCAGCTCACCTTTTCCTTTAGTGCTTGGAGAAAGGTCCTGGACTGATGGCTCCAGGCACTGAGGTTTGCAGTCAGCTTATGGGAGAGGTCCATGGATCCCTCCTCATTCTCCACCCTTGGTCTTGGGGCAGTGGGTGGCAGCATCTGGAGCATTTTGACTCCTCCAGACAGAAGAGGTTGCCCCACATCAGCTCAGAGCCCGTGTGATTTTGACTTTGGCAGGTGGTTGCTTTCGCCTCGCTTTTCTTCATCCTGGTCTCCATCACAACCTTCTGCCTGGAGACTCACGAGGCCTTCAACATCGACGTCAACGTCACCGAGACCCTGGTGGTGGGCAACACCACGACAGTGCTGCTGACACACAAAGTGGAGACGGAGCCCATCCTCACCTACATCGAAGGGGTCTGCGTGCTGTGGTTCACCCTCGAGTTCCTGGTCCGCATCATCTGCTGCCCAGACAAGCTTCTCTTCATTAAAAACCTGCTCAACATCATTGACTTCGTGGCCATCTTGCCCTTCTACCTGGAGGTGGGTCTCAGTGGCCTGTCCTCCAAAGCCGCCCGGGACGTGCTGGGTTTCCTGCGGGTGGTGCGCTTCGTCCGCATCCTCCGCATCTTCAAGCTGACGCGGCACTTTGTGGGTCTCCGTGTGCTGGGCCACACCCTGCGGGCCAGCACCAACGAATTCCTGCTCCTCATCATCTTCCTCGCCTTGGGGGTCTTGATTTTTGCCACCATGATCTACTACGCCGAGCGCATCGGAGCCAAGACGTCCGACCCCACCGGCAGCGACCACACTCACTTTAAGAACATCCCCATCGGGTTCTGGTGGGCCGTGGTCACCATGACGACCCTGGGTTACGGTGACATGTACCCCAAGACGTGGTCAGGGATGGTGGTGGGGGCTCTGTGCGCCCTGGCCGGGGTGCTGACCATCGCCATGCCCGTGCC